TGCCTCATAGGAATTCCTCTTAGCTAGTTTGCTGGTGCTCCTACACCCTCAGGATCTCTATCTCCTCCTTGTTGCTGACTCTAATTCCCTAATTGCTCCCCTGTCTATGGTGCTGCCTGCTCCCCACACCTTTCCTCTGTCACCCTTCCTCCTCAAGTCCCCTGAGGACCGTTGGTCCTGCTGCGTTCTACTCAGGCTTTCTTCCCATGCCTATCTTCCATAAGTAGGCAAACCAACTATGACACAGACCAAACAAAAGAAAACAAAAGATTTAAAGAAGAAAGAGAGAGAAAAAGTAAAAAAGAGAAGTTTTTAAAAAAAGGAAAAAAATATACATAATTCCAGGTTTGTTTGCTGACCTTCATGACTATCTCCCCACTGGTTATGGGGACTCTCCCCCTCCCAGCCTGAAGCCCATTTCAGGGGCTCCGCAGGGGCTTCATAGCTTTGCTTTGCTTCAGTGGTTGATCAGTTATGTTCCTTTCTTGGTTTGCCCCACTGTGGGGGGTTCAGACAGCACTGCCTCCCTGCTGTGTGGCCCCATGTTTGTCCTCTGTCAACCTCTGCTCCAGTAAGGGGATAACATGGCATGAGGTGTTGTTGGCCCCACAGTCCCCTCTGTGTCCCAGCCGCTCCCCACAGGGACGTCATCCTCTGGGCCTGTTGTGCAGCATGGGGTCCAAGACCAGCTCTCCCTTTCTCTTCTTCCTTCCTGGTCTGCTTCTGTGTGGGCGTGGCATGTTGGCCCCTATCCCAAACTTTTAGGTTTAGTGATTGAATTAGATCTTTAAAGTCATTCTGAGGACTAAGGTGTACCTGCCCCAAACCATGATATTTTCAATTGCCTCATATGAATGCGAAAACTAGACAATGAATAAGGAAACTGGGGAAGAATGAGTGATTTGAATTCCAGTGCTAGCAAAGAATATTGAAATTACCACAGTCTACCAAAAGAACAAAATGTCTGTACTGGAGGAAGGATAGACAGAATGCTCCTTAGAAGCAAGGATGGTAACGCTTTGCCTCATGTAGTTTGGACATGCTCTCAGGAGGGAACTGTCCCTGGAAAAGCACATTCTGATTGGGAAACTAGAGGGTCAGCGAAAAAGAGGAAGGTTCTCAATGAGTTGGATGGGCACAATGGCGGAAACAGTGGGGTCAAACAGAACTGTGGCGAGGCTAGCACACATGTTTCCTTCTGGTGCATGTAGGATTTCTGTAAATTCTATTGCTCTTGACCGAACCAGGGCACCCAGAAGGTGTTTGAAAATATCTGAAAGATCTGATCTGTAAGAATAAATTGGAGATTGATCATTATTTCTACATAGACATTCCTTGGAAATCTGAACAAAATGAGTGAAAAATCGCTAGCATTTTGCTTAGAACTTTGTAACATAAATGGAGCAGGGCAGAGGTCCAGGGGCCATGTGGTTGGGAAACCAAGGACCAGCGGTTGGCCTGCTTGATTATAACGAGGCTGTTCTGATGGAAGGTTCGTGTTATCCTTAATTATAACATGTTAACTGCCCTAATAAACTCCATAATTTGGGGGCGCCGTGGGAGAGGGGATTCAATGGAATATTGTCTGCATTGTAAAGAGGTACAGTCTCAGAAACTCAGAGGATCAGGTCTACCCTGTCCTATAGGGTGGCTATGAATCGGCATAGATTTGATGGCAGCCACTATTTGACTGAAAAAGCTTTAGACACGATTGTCCACCAAGTTAAATAGAAATACAGAGCTTGAACCATAGGTGATCTTACACAATGAAACAAAAGCATTATCCAGCTACTCAGTGGTGCTGGGGAATGACTCATTCTTCAAAGTCAGGTTATTTGTACTCTGTTTCCCTTTGCCTTCTGTGGGTGTCATTGTGAACTCAGAGACCTACGTTACCCCTGCCAGGCTCCGCCAGGCTAACAACTCATGCACGTTCTGGCCAGCTGAGGCCCTGGGCTAAAACATGTGCAGTGAAGGGGTTCTCCTGGGGATTGCATATTATGACAAGAGAGTCACAATGACATTTTTAATTTGATGAGGGGATAAACTAAGTGTGGTCTACACTTTCAAATAACCTGATATTGGCAACATTTCCTCCCCAGAATGGTAGAAACTAGGAATCTACCTCAAGCAAAATGAAGCATTTCAGGATAGGTCTTGCGGTTTCTTATTTATCACAATTTTATGCAACCAGTTTTCAAGGATAAATTTGTGGGAAAGATCAAAATCAAGTACTAGGAGAAATCTTTCCTATGGTAATTTGGCCATGTTATCTAATTGCCAAATATTGAATATAAATGCAGAAATGGGAATATTCTAGGGATTCAAGGCTCTGGCAAGCTGCTGGAATTTCTGCTGACCAAGAATCCCTGGTTTCAGGGTGGGTCCTTGATTGGCTAACATTTTGCACTTAGCAGATCCTTATCATTAGATCTTATTTTTCTGTCTGTAAAAAAGGGCTCTATTTTTAGAACTTTGTTTATTGCAACAGTTGAGTGAAAATAGATGTTATGTTCAGGTGGATGGCTATATCTGAGTGTGTGCCATTATAGACAAAGAGGAAGTAGCAGAAGAATGAGCAACATATTACATGTGGTCATTATTCGGTGGTAGGATTTGGGGAGATGTTTTTTAATTCACTTTTCTGTATTGAATTTTCTTCAATCAATATATAATTTTAGAAAGTTTTAGTGTGCTATAATTTGAATGCATACAGTTCATCCACTTAAAGCAGTACATCATTTTTACAAAATGCATATCGTAAAGCAAAACAAAATGAGCTACACATAGCCTGCCTCCCTGCATTTTTCCTTTTGTGAAGAAAAGTGTATGAGTGAAAGTGACAAACTGAACAAACAACTTTTAAAATGGACAAACGATATTAGCTTTAACATCGTTCTCTCTCTTCTTTTCACTCGATGTGTTTTGGGATCGTAGCTCATCAAGAACAGTTCAATACATTGATATTGTGATAAAGCTGGGTGCACCAATCAACAATTTTGGTGTTTACTGGGATGGTTTAGAACTTCTAGAATTATAATCTTAAACTTATTCAAAGATTCCAGAAGTTTAAGATTGCAGTCTTAGAAAATGACCAAGAGCAATTGCCTACAAAATTGTGCTGTTTGTATTTCAGGAGTGACTACTTCATAGATTTTGATGATTTCCCATTTTATGAATAGGCACAAGACAAAAATAAAAGTAGCTCATTAACATATCTAAACTCCTCAGATGATTTTTTGAATGGCAATTAAAGAGCTACTTTAAAAAAAAAAACTTATTTTATCTTAGTAGCTTTATTTTTCCAGTTAGTAGCATTATGAGATATATTCCATATCATAAAGTGAAAACTCATTCATATTTATTTATATGATATCCCGGCTTCCACATTAGTGGCAAGATTTGCCCTAGGGTTGAGACACAACTCTTAATAATAATAATTTTACTATTGTATACTTTTGTACAATAAAAGTTATCTTGGACAGTGCCCTTTCAAATTAGTCAGAGAAAAAGACTGAGGGTAGATGTTGAAAGGTCAGAGTATAGCAGGTTACAGGCATGTCCTATCTACAGAAAACTGAGGCAGCCAATATAATTGCCTACAACATGCCAGCGATTTAGTACATATTTCCAAGCTCAACAATATGCTTCTCATAAAAGAACATTAATTTAATGATGGCTAATGTTTACAATTCATAAAGTTTCCACTTCTCAAATTTTTAAGAGGTAGTTTGCACCATGTAGTACAGTCAGCATGTTTTCTGCAGTCTGTGAGAATGAGGAGGCTTCTTTTCACATACTTGGGACATATTATCAGGTGGGACCAATTCATGGAGAAAGACATCATGCTCGGTAAAGTAGATGATCGGTGAAAAAGAGCAAGTCCCTCCATAAGACGGGTTGATACCATGAAGCTCAAGTACAACACTTGTCAGGATGACTCAGTGTCTGTACTATTGGTGAAGTGGTGTTGGTTTTAATCTAACCAGTCTTTGAGTCTCCACCAGACTTATATGTAGTCATTTTAACCATGCTGCCTGTCTTCCTCATTAGCACAATATTGCTCCATGTCACCAATGGGGATGAAACCAGATTGTCCCTTAACTCATACCCACAGTGCTGTGTGTTTGAACCATTTTAGTCATCTCTTCCATAGGGCATATAATCCCTGAGTGTATTAGCATCCTTTAAGCTCTGGCTTATGCTATTCTTCTGTCACATGCTCTCCTCACTTTTTGAGTTCCTCTAGACACAAGTCAACATCACGTGAACATTGTCCCTGACATCTGTAGCTCATACTGATCTTACCAGTTAGAAAAGTATTACATCCAGTGTAGCACATACTCTGTGTATTCCTATGCTGTAGTAGTTTCATGTGCATACATCTGATTCTTATTAAGTATTGTGTAATCCTTAAAAATAAAATCAAACTAAAATCACTATCATTGAGCCAATTCCAACTAATAGTGACCTTACAGGAGGTTATGCAAGGTTGTGAATCTTTATGGAAGCAGATAGCTTCAACTTTCTCATGCGGAGTCAGCCCCCAAGTTTTCAATACAAAACCCGGTGCTTCAACCCTGTGCCCCTTCTTATCCCTGAGAAGAGGGACTCCAATAGTCTCTACCCCATGAACAAGGTAATACAAGTAGCAGGAGCTCCGGGATTATTTTTGTAGAACGACGGACATTTCAGGGTTGTAGTCTGTTTATTGGATTAACTCAATAGCAGTCGTGCTATTCAATGTGAGAATTTGTCATTTAGTTCTCATTTCTGCTTTAAGAAAATTAATATGTCAAAGATTTCTATGATGGAAAAAACATAAAACAAGACTGTGAAGTTGGGAGAGCACTTTAAGAAACACTGGCTTAAATAAATTGATTGGAGATACAGTCTTGCTAGGCTTGATGAAGATAAATTAAGGCACTAACTGCACTGACCAGAAGCAATCTGTTAAAGTCAACATTAATCAAAAACCAAATTACACTTCTTTAGCTTTTTTACTCAACTATAAAATAAAACAAAATAAACAATTTTTTTGCCTTTAGATGTTAATTTAGGACTACTCAAAAATGAGCCTATTAATATATTATTCATTAAATGCCGATCTTTACAAACTGGAAGTAATAGGTGCAATGTTCTAGAATGCAATTAATCTTAGTGTTTCCTCTGAAGCTGACTGAAAATTATCATCAGCTACACAAATGTGCAAGTTCATATGAAATTACTCCCTGAAAAAAAAGTAATTACATATGTAATTGTATTATCTTATCTTTGCTGTGCTATATGAAGCTAGTATAATGAGTTTACTTTGCAATAACATTTTAGAAATAGCAAATCTACTCTTCTGTCAGACATTAGAGCAAATTTCAAAAGCCACGAAGAAGATAACAATCAAATCTATATAAAATGGAGAATGAAAAGGGTTTAATTAGTAGTGGTCACTTTCTGTGATATAGATGAATTACACATAATTGTTTTAAACATGTTTGAATACTCTAAAAACATTTTATAACTAAATTTGTCAATAAGTCTGTTAATAAATACAATAAATTCTATTATGGGATAATTTTTTATTACTATAGAACAACAGTTCTATGAGAGACATCTGAAGAATCAAAAAAACCCATCATGACTAATGACTGCTCATCTCCATGCCTCCCCGCCCTCACCCCAGCTCAATTAAATCAGAGTCTATACACGAGAATGCCTGCCCGCCGAATAAAAAGAAAACAGTCCTCCAGGCAAATGCAGTGTTCAAAAGGGTTGACAATCGGTGATGAAAGTTTACATTAAATTGGAATTAAACTTTAATATCCTATTTATCTGTACTGTATTTTGCTTCAAATAAAACAGAACAGAATATGCTAAAATAATAAAAGTTACATAATTAAAATTGTGATAGTTAGAATTAATAATTAATGGGAGTTAATTTTGATAGCTCTGATAGCTTTATGGCTTTGATAACTTCCAATTCCTTGCCACAGTCTGGGATCGAAGTATTATCTTGGATGTATTTTAACTCTTTAAGGGTGTTGAGCATTTATTTAATGCATACTTTTTCCACTTCAATTAATTTCTGTCATTAAACAGTTAAAGTATCTCTAGCGGAATCTTATTACCAAACCGTGTGTTATAATAGGTCCAATGGCAGAAGAGAGGCTGTGTCTGAATTGAGGCAACTCATATCATTTCTTTTTATTTCATGTTTGATTCTGGCAACTAAGAATAATAGTGTACTTTTAAACAAAATAGTTATCTTTTAAAACCAATTTTCTCAATAAATATGTCAGGGCAGAATACACTAACGATTTAAAGTAAAAGTAGGAACAATGAAAAAAATATAATTATTTTCCATGGTGTTTTTTTTCATGATATCAGCCATTTTCTTTTGAA